CTCTCTTCATTGACTTCGAAAAGGCCTTCGACAGACAGCGTCAAAGTTGACCGAGAAGTAATTTAGGAACTACTTCAACACTACGGTGTGCAGTGTCCAAGCCTCTATCAACCTCATTCAACAGCTGGCTATATGAAGGTGTCACGTGTCAGTCAGGTGACGCACAACGGAAAACTCACTCAGCGAGGCTTTTGAAGTGCATATAGGAGTAAGACAAGGAATATGCTGAACCACCAATAAGAAAACTCTGGAAGATCTGGATTTCACGCGTGGATAATTTATGTTTGATGTAACATAAACTGAACTAACGAACTGGAAGAAGAGGCTGGCAGGCAGTGAAGGTAGAACTGGGGGTGAATACAGAGAAAACGAAAGTGATGAAGATAACCAACCAACGAACCACAACATCAAGAACAACAACCAGCACCAATCACCATCAACAGGTGTGACAGAGGTTACCTCCTTCACTTACCTAGGCAGCCACCATGGGTTCAACCACAGTCATGTCAAACGGATGAAGATGTCAAAGCCAGCCAGCCATAATCGGAAAGGCTAGATACACATGCCTTCATCAACCTGAAACCAGCATGGAAACCTTGCGCACGCAGTCGGTATATGGAACATTAAGATTCGCATTTTCAACAACAATGTCAAGTCAGTCAGTTCTTCTACACTGGTCAGATACATGCATTGCGCGTGAGTCACCAAAAGGATTTCCAACAGGCTGTTGCAGACTTTTTTCAACAGCTATCACCTTTGGTGGCTTCATACTGAAGATTGAATGGTAGGCCAGAAAGAATCAGCAACAAGAAACTCTGGCTGGGAACAAATCAGTCAATAGCCGATCGCTCAACAAATATGTAGGATAACGTGAAGGTGGATAGTGCATACGTTGAGGAGACCTTCGAATGACGCTGAGCTCGATGCAGGTGATCACTCAATTGTGATCCCAATTGGAAGCGACGAGTGGTTCATCGGTTCGAGGATGATATGGAGAAGATTTTGTGAGGAGGATATGAGCGATTATGGTCAACCATGGACCCAGCTGAAGAGGATGGTTAGAAAATAGAGTAAAGTGGATATGTTTTGTTGAAGCCAAGGGACAATAATAATATTATCATAACTAGACAATGATACACACACTTAAGTTCAAATTTTACTGATGATGATGGATATCTTTTATATATGATTGTAAAGCTTGATGAGGAATTAATATTTACTCATCCGATTCCGTTGTAAAAAAAGAAAGAACTCTTAGGAATCCACTGAAATTTGAGCTTTCGAAGCCGAAATCTGTAGAAAATTAATCTCCATGAGGTGATTCTAGAAGACTTTATACGGTTATTGAAGTATGAAAGTCAGAAATTACATTAATGTATTCATAATTAATATTGTCGCTTTTATTCGGAATTAATCTGAACATGTATGCACTTTGTAGTCACATTTTTTCTTATATGACATGTTAGAATATCACAGTTTTTACCTTTTTGAATGGTAAGTTATTTAGTGAATGTCTGCTGATCTAATAATCAATATCTAACAGTATTTAAAAAATCACTTCCTATATTTTACAGGTAAGTTGTGTCGTGTTTATTCTGTACAAGTATTTTACTAAATGTACAAATTATTTAGTATGTTGCATTACAAATAATTAGGTAACAAGTTTCCGAACAGCCTAATGTTCACATGACAAATAACACCTAATCAAATGTAGGTTACTATATACTCTACTATATACTACTTGAAATAATTACAACACCGTTATGAATATATGCTTCCCAATACACATTAGAATCGTTCACTATTCAATAAAATTTGGAAAATGGTTGTATATTTTCTTTGACCAATGTACTACATCAAAGCAGGAGCTGAACGTAAAAAGGTGTAGCTAAACACTGGAACAAAAGGATAAAGAATGAGATGATTGAGTCTGCGACTTTCTGGAGTTTTAATTAGTTTTCGTGAACTGAAAATTAGTGAAATTCCAACACTTATATGGAAAGTCATCAGTCATACATTAGATTAATATGACTGGCATTTATGATACACTATTTTTACGTAAGGGAACAAAGTAAGTAGTGCACACATCATTCAGTGGACTTTAAAAACGAGGATTTACTTATTTAGTTAAGCTGTGGATACTCATAAAATGAAGTGGTTGACTGGTGTTTCATTAATGCTCAGGACTGAATGTGAACGACATACTGCCAGGCTATTCAAATACATTAGAATGCATATGTTCAAATGCTAGCTCACTCATAATCCTATGTCTTTTGAATAACTTAGCCACATGACGGTTACTTTCAGTCATACTGAGCATATGACGGTGCGTAGAGTGGGATTATGTCATGAATTCATGAAATATCATGAATATGTTAATATTCCATAAGGTTATTTCAATTTAAACAAAAAGTGGTGTGAATTTATCATTGATCACCGGTTATTAGTGAAAAAATTTGAAAGTATTATGGAACATAAACAAAAGTGGATTGTAGACATTTAGATTAATTAATATATTGGTAATATATATTCGTTTTGTAATAGATATGTATACCTGCCATAGCAAGCAGTGACTGCTCATAATTATAGCTACGTAGTAACATGCTCCCTTAATTTGCTTTATTCAGCTGTACTCAGTTAAATTTATCGCTAATAGAATTTTCTAATATACATGGTTGTTGCTAAATCATTTCTAATGCGCATGTCAGAAGTTTTTCAATGATTACTCTCTATCTCTCCTTAATCCCTCTTAAACTGTCCCTCTATATTGTGCAGGTGTTGGTACCTGATCAGATGAGTTTTTCCAGATCACTTGCTTTATCAAGGTTCATCATTATAGATTTAGCTAAATTTCTGTATTCTGAAGATAAAATTGACGGTGATTGGCGAGTTTTAATTAAGCTTAACAGAGATTACTAATTCTAAATAACGAAGTGTGAAGTTAACACTTTTATCATCAGTAAGAAATAAAACTATTTGTTATTATGCCATCAGTCGTTTATATTAAAATGATAAATTGAACTATGATTGCTACTATTAGAGCAAACTTTATTCTAGGATATGCTTATGGTAAAAAAATCTTATGATATCGTCTCCTCACACTAAGTTGCAAAAGGGATTATACGCTTTAACACTCCGCCTGATATAAAGTCGAGCGTTGAGTTAAATAGTGTTTACTACCAAGTCAGGATGTCAGTCATAAATATTTGACTGTTAAATGATTTCATCATGAGCTGAAATCGGTTAAGGAACCATTGGAAAACCTGAGAGTAATGGACAGCTGTTTCGTCCAAGTTTGAGAGTCGTCATCATTATTCACCCGCCGGGTTTTGAAGCCAGGGCCAGTAGGGTGCAGCAATTCTCCGAAGATATTGACTAGCTACCACGCTGTGCCATGAATTAGCAGAAGTTAGAATTCATTGGCCATTGAATCGGGACCCATTGGCTTAATGGTCTATAACCTTATCTCATAACCCGGAGGTCCTGGGTTCGAACCCTGGAGGTGTATGCGTACTGATGAGGAGCCCCAAACTAGAACGAAACAGCTGTCCAGTACTCCCATGTTTTCCATTGGTTCTCTAACCAATGTCAGCTCATGATAAAATCCTGTAAAAAATCAATCAATTCCCTACAAACCAATACTTGCATACTAGCCAGTTAGTTGGACCAATAACAGCAGCTAAGGAAATTAAACTGCAGTGACTAAATAATGAAACAAATATTTCGGAGGCAAACGAATTTATCTTCAAATATTTATCAGATATAAAAAACCCTGTAGATAGAGTCAAAATGTTTAAGTCATTGTACAGACAGATTCTATTTCATGATAGATTTATTATCAAGGAGAAGACTTTAATTTCAATTTATTTATGAATTCAGATAAATCTTTATTGTCATTAGACGTCGCCATTGTTTGTAACTCAGAATATTGTTAACATTTTATTTTTGACCAATTTTAATCAAGTTCTTCCAGGCACTAGGTGTTTGCCTTGCCATCTACCGATTGCTTTGATAACCTAAGTTGACGTTTTTTATTTGTATAATATTTTAATAGCCATCTTCACTGCATTTCTTCACAAAGGTTAATTAAATACAGCTTTTTTGATAATAACTGAAGATATAAAAGAAACAGAACTAATATAACAGCCAGAGCTTCAGCTCTGGATATTTGTCCCAATTATCCGACCACTGGGAACTGACTTATAGATTCATCTGTATTATTACTTTTTGCTCATCTTTAGAAAATTTATAGCATAACTGGTTGAACAACACTTAAAGAAAATGTCTTGCGTTGATACAAACAAAAGTTTTAAAAATTGATTCGTATATTAAGTTTGTTAAAATGTTTTTATTTCGGAGGAATAATTCGTTGAAAAGTGATATTGGCCAGAGAATCCCAGAAAGATAAACAGCCGTTTTGTTCAATCTTCTTACTCTGTGAAAATACTTTGTCAGTAACTGATCTCCGAAATATCATGATGTGATTAAGTTCAAATTGCAGTTGCCTTATGTCCCCAACTTCTACAAATTCGTGATATGGCACCAATGTCATCCATCGTCATCTGCAAATAACTTTCACCATACTTGGCTCGATATCTTTGGCTAATCAGTCTCACATGCACTTTTGACTGATCAGTGGATCCATGTTCGTGGATTAAATGATGATAGTTAGAAGGTGCCCACATAATAGTCTTATGTCTCCAGTCCCAGTCCTTCAAGGAGCCGTTTAATAACACTATTATAAGATCTAAAACTGAAGGGAATTAGCTACCAGATGATCTTTTTCATTCAGTAATCCTTTATGTGACACCGGTATTCGATAGGATATACCAACATATTTTTAAATTTATAAATTATGGTTTGTGTGGAAAAAATCCTTGCTTCTCACGTGACAATTGAATTTGAGCACTTTGATAGGATATAATTCCCTGCTAGGTAAGATTTTTCCTATTTAACACACAGCGATACTGTATTAATTAATAACTCAATGTTGTGAATGAATTCAAACGGCTTCTTAACTTGCTTTCTAAGTCATATATGTGTCACATCAAATTAACCTACCTAATTGAGACCGTAGTATATTATTCAGAGAGATCTATTTCTATATTAAGAAATATAATATATGACCGAGTACTTTGGCGTGTATCCGTTCATTTTATAACAAATCGCACAGGCTACAACTTGACCTTTATCATCTTGGAAATCTTGACATTTTGGCTATCTTTATTTTCAACCCTCGCTACTGTTTTCTTTCCCTTCCCATGTCAATTCATAAGCGTTGCAATTTGAACTGAAACAATTTAAAGGAAACTTCAATTTCGATCTCTTTAACTATCTGATAGTTTACGTAATATCTAATTGTATTCATATAAACAACCTAGACTGTATTTTAAACTTCTATCAGGAAAAAGGTAAAGTTTAGAAGCGATGTATGATTGTTTTGCTGTTTTTTAAAAATTAAAAAACCGTCAGAACCAAAATGCATCAGTGGCACAGAAGTAGAATGCTCGCTGACCCGCGTGTGGTCTGGGATTCGATCCCCGGTGGACGCACTCTCTTATCTCGCTAAGCAAGTAATAAGACTGGTAAAAATGGGAGGTTAGGTATGTAGTAAGCAGCCCCATCCCGTAAAAACAAACATCACTGCTACTGAAATTTAGGCTTTCAGCTTAAAGCCCTATATTCCACTGGGAATGTAAAGGAACAAAAAAAATCAGAATCTTGGTTGGACACTAGTAACTAGTGCAACGTGTCTTGTCCTTTCTTTGGTGCAGTTGACGCAGTTGACTGGGTGACGCAGGTTCGAATCTCCTCAAGAAGGGACATGAGTTCCTTCAAGCTTGCAGACACGCCTTGCTGACTGATAAGTGCCAACTAGCACGAAACCTAGGTCCAAGGCTTCCTGCCGATTGCCTCCAACTATCAAATATCATAAAATCGGAATAAAACGCGATAACCTGTGTAGTGAACTGTGAAAAGATGATGTGCAAAATTTGGAAAAATGTCTACTACTGATAATGGATGCGGCGAACTTCCTATTTATATTAAAGGAAAGTTGGTTTACTGCAGTAAAGATTATTTTTTTATTATAAATTAAGATCGTAATATACCCCAGTGTGAATATGTGATAAACTTCTGCCTTGATAATATTCCTAAGGAAATTTTAACTGTCATTGAATGCGAACAAAACATTTACTTTTATGAATCATTCATGAACTTTTACATATTTATATTCTGATGAATAAATTTAGACTACCCCGTACAATTAGTAAATATCCCTAGAGAATTCATTTTTGATTATCCGATTGCATGCAAAGTGTTTATATACATCTGATAAGCAATAAGATGTAAAAAAATCCCTGATAATGACATTTAAATGAAGCCTAAAGTATAAGCAAACTAAAAGCGATAAATGATGAACACTTTTGGGTTCTAGAAAAGGATGTACTTTTGAAAAATTTTTACAGAAACAACAATTATTTCGTCTCTTGCCTCATTTAATATCTAATGTTGCGTCATCGTTCTTTTAATAAGACAGCACAATACTTTAATTGGACACTAGTAACTATTGTGATGTATCTAGTCCTTTCTTTGGTGCAGACTGAATCCTATCAATCAGGTTTGCAGTGTGGTAACCATTGCGAGCCCAAATAGCTCAGTGGTAACGTCTGTGATTGCAGCACTGGGTGACGCGCGTTCGAATCTGAAATAGGACATGAGCTTCTTCAAGTTTGCAGACACCTATTGCTGACTGATGAGTGCAAACCAGCACAAAACCTAGGTCCAAGGCTTCGTGACATCTAATATCATCAAGACAGTACAACGCTAACATAATGTATGGTTCTTTGATAAGGAAAAACGGTATTCCTTGAGTGGTATCCATTAGGAATCCATTAAGACTGTTTAATACTACATTAGCTAAGGCGGTTTTAAACTTTTGCATAGTGTCTATCAATACTAGTTGACAGACTAATTTAGTTTTATTTTAAATTTTCTCTTTATTTCGTAAGAAGTCACTTTTCAACTCAGTAATACAGATAAACTGTTCCCAAAAGATAATTTGATGAATTGTAACAGCTGTACAATAAATATTATTGATTACTCAACGGCTAACATATTATAGAAGCTATTTAAAATCATAATTGAACATTCCATGGAGTTTAAAATATTTTTTTATTATGTGAAAAAATAGTCAATTAATTTACGAAACCTCATTGGACACTTTAAGTCAAATACGGTAAGCTTAAGAAGTATAAATTCTTTTTACTATGTGCGTCAGTGGTTCAGAAGTAAATTGTCAGCCGGCTAGGGAAGTGGTCCAAGTTCTGTTCCTGGCCGACAGTTAGGCTGGAAAGGAGAGAAGGTTAGGCATGGGACGGGGAATTCCACCCTGTAAAAGCAATACTGTTACTGAGAATTCAAAGCTTAAAGCTTGAATCCCTATGTTCCACTGGTGACGCCTAAGAATGGAAAATGTGGACACTATGAGTAATTTAAAATCAGAAATGATCAACACGTATATCACGCTCACATACACATATACAAATACATCTGAAAGTGTGTATGTTTTGGTTCTATGATCTTAATTGAGCTGACTATCTCTTTTCAAGGTATTCGATATTATTTGAGTCACTGTTTTTATTACCAGACCCATCAGATGGGATGGGCACTGCGAATACACGCAATTCATATTGAATTCTAAGATGACTGTTACTTCAGCTTTTGATGTTCACATTATCTACTCACTAACTGATGGATAGGAGAAAAATATGTTCATACAGACAACTAATTCCATTTTTCAGAAAATTTAGTTCAGTAGGAACACTCACCACTTTAACTCATATGGTGTTATGATAAATGTTTCATGGAGTTGTGTTTCCCAACTCCCAGCTACTGAGTTTCTGGTTTAAACAACAGTGTACATTGTGAGGTTTGTGCAGCCACGTGATGTTACTAGCCATCGCACTGTAGGTGTGGCTCACTGCTAACTACACGGAGAGACTGACTGTTATTACCTCATTCTGTTTAATGGTATCTTAAGTTATAAAATGTTCGAATAGAATCTGTGTATCACTTAAACAATAATTTTGGCAAAGAAAATTTAGGTTATTACCTGTGATTTCAAGGTATTTACTTGACTTTTACTACTCATATTTTTTAAACTGGTATCAAATTTATTCTCTCTCCGTATGTGACGAAAAGACTTCCGTAGACATTCCAACGCATCAAAAGAAGAAATTAAAGTTATATCAAGGTTAGATGTGGAGTCAAGCAATGAAGTTTTGAAGCTACATCGATTGAGATGACTAGGACATGAGTTATGCATGCCTAGTCACCGCCTTCCTCGTTGGCAATATTAACTTACTTAGAATTATGTTCGACAGTAGTTAGGAATGATCGAATGAAATACTGGTACCAGTAGATAAAGTCTTTGACTGTTGGACTGAGTCACAAAGAGAGGTAAAGACTGCCTATTTAGGGTCGTTGAGATGCTAAGAATCAATAGCTTGAGACTGATGGTGATATTGTTCAAAATCGTCTTCAATTAGCGTTGATATATAATCTGTACAATACCACGGGTACATTAAGTCCTTATATTTTTCCATAATGCTATTCTTTCTCCCATATATTGCTACTCCCTATAGTTCTTTTAAAATTTTATTCTCTTTTCTTTACCTTTGTATATGTGAAGTGTAGCCACTTAAACTGTTGCATTTCTATCTAAGGTTCTGCTTTGAAACTCATTCCAGTCAGTATTTTTGTACTAACAGATGTATTCTACTAGATTTTATGAGGTTAGTAATCCTATCCAAAAACAAACTTTCACTAAGGAAAGTGAATAGATTATTATTATTGTTATTATTATTATTATTTGTAAATAGGGTTAAAGGCTATAATAATAGTTTGGAATAAAGCTATTGCTATGATTACTATTACTAGTGATTAAGAATTTTCGGTTACTTTTAAACTTATGTTTATAAGATTTAAAGCTACATGTGAAGAATGAAAAGTGATACATTTTTTGGTGAATTCATTGTATTCTGTGAAATCATGTCAATTTTTTCGATTTAACAGAGAAAGACCGAAAAGTTTTGCCTAGATTGTTATAACTTCACTGAACTAAATGCGAAACTTAGTCACTTTGTTATGTCTGCACCTGCTTAATATGCCCATTTGCCCGTTGTGCCTTCCGATTCAGTGAGCCACACAAATATCAAAGGACAAAGGCTGGCCTGTGACTGTTTATTGTAGTCATCATTAGGAAAGCAGTACATGGTATTTATACACTTTTACAACAACAAAGACAGCTAACAGCGTTTGAAATAACTGATCGCATAATCAATCACAATATGCGTGAGAAATGATGATAGACTATTTTTGATGCCAGATCCTATCATAGACTTAATGCTACTGAATCTTAACACTTAATTAATTTGTTAATAATAATAATAATTAATAATCTATATCCAAGCTGTCGAAAAACAGAATTAGTAAAAGTTATCCAAGTATGGAATGTTCAGAGATAGCGAGAGAGAGAATGAGTAACCATAAAAATATGTGAAAGTCAATCAACTTATAATTACATCTGATCAAAAAATAGAACAACAAAGTGAATCTACAATAAAGAATATTGTTCATGCTTCAGAAAGGCTTCTTTCTTTCTTTCTTCCTTACAAACTCTATTAAAACATTCTTCTTCGTTCTCTCTCGACCCTTTGTTACCGCTTACGCCAGTAAATATGCTAGCATCTACCTTTCTAACACCTTCAAACACTGTTCAGTTTTGACTTTGCTACCGACATGCCAATATGTTGTTGTCATAATGAACTGAGATTACCCTTAATCTATGTAGAATTTTATTTATTGTTAATGTACCAACTGGATGCAATACTGTGGTAAAAATGCTGAGAATTCCATTCTGTATCACAAGTACTGTTTTGGAATAAAGCAAAGTATTGTTATTATTTCTTTTTTATCACCAAAAGAATAATATTCTTGGTATTATATGGTTGGATGCAGTCGGAAGGAAGCCTTGCCGGTATCTACGTTTCGTGCTAGTTGGCACTCACCAGTCAGCAAAAAGTATCTGAAACTTTGGAGGAATTCATGTCTCTTCTGAGATTTGAACCCACATCATCCAGTGCTGCAGTTAGAGACGTTATAACTAAGCTATTCAGGTTCATGATTGACCTCCTGTAGGACTGTATAGGATATTTCTGATTGAAAACTAGCGGGTAACTAGTGCAATGTGTCTAGTCCTATCAAAAATATCCAATACAGTCCTACAGGAGGTCAGTCACGCGCCCGAATAGCTCAGTGGTAACGTCTCTGACTGCTGCACTAGGTGACGCGGGTTCGAATCTCAGAAGGGACATGAGTTCCTTCGTGGTTGAATATACACCTTGCTGACTAGTAAGTGCCAACTAGCATGAGACCTAGGTCGCGGCAAGGCTTCCTGGCGACTGCCTCCAACCATATAATGCCAATAATTCACAGTACACCATGATGACAATCCACCTAGCATGGTGGGCACATTGCAAGCTTGACTGACAGAATTCAGTCTGCACCGAAGATAGGACTAAACAGATTACACTAGTTGCTGACTAGTGTCCAATCAAGAATAATATTCTTTTTCTTCTTACTGACATACTTTTCTGCAAAAAATATATACAAATGCACCAAGTACATATTATATTTCATAAACGTTAATTACCATAATTTACGAACTAATGCTTATTTGTAATTTTCATCATTAAATTAACCATAGTCGATCTGTGCGCGTGCATTTGCGCTTAGCCCTCAGCTTAAAAAAATTAACTGTCACTGTGTGTTTAAACACTTCCAGGGGACTAGTTTTGGATAGCAAAATAAGGAGAAATATGTTCTAGTTTTCTGTGTTTACTAACAACATATTAACTGCACAACACACACAACATATTAGGCTGATTAAATTCTTTGATTAAATATGAAAGCATTTCTCATTTTACACTGATTAATCAACGTGCTGCGTGCACACCGTGACCTTGAAAATATTTTTCTTTCAAAAAAAATATAGGTGAAATACCTTCGATAGGTTATGTCTATTCTACAAAATTAATATAGGATAGACATACAACTTTTATATTCTATCCTATCCTATAAGATTAATATTAATATCCACTAGTTAACACACTGTGGTTGGTTAGGAGTCTTGAAATTTGGACATCGTTAATATACATATATGCATATATATATACTTCAGAATTTTGTAAAATACCTTTGTGTTACGTAACAAACACTAAGTGGACTAATCCTTATCACATCGTTTTTTGTTGACAGTTGGAGTTTAAAAAACTTCTTGATTTCGCTGAAAAAAACAACTTTCAAAAATCTTTTATTATGTCAACAATGATGTGTGCAAAGTGTGCTCGACCATTTACAAGTGGAAGCATTTTAAGTGCTTTAGATAAGAAATGGCATCCTGAATGTTTTGTATGTACTATATGTAAAAGAACTCTGGCCGATCAATCATTTCATGTGAAAAATGAAGATCCATTCTGTGCAAATTGTTGGAAAGAAAACTTTCAACCACGTTGTGCTGTAAGTAGAAAAAAATGAATAACAAAAGTTTAAAAAAATATTTATTGTTATAGTAAATCATCTCCTTTTTGGTTTTATTTCTAGTTAACTTTCCATGCATAGGTTTATATTATGAAAATATTCCTTATACTACGTTTACAATCTAAAGAAGTAGATCTTTAACGTAAACAGATCATTACAGATAGCTTTTTATGAGTTAGTTAAAGGTTTAGTGAAATTTATATTAGAAATTCACATTTTACCATGCGAATTCAAAGTTTATTGATTGTCTTCCTGAAAATACGGATAAACTCATTTCTAAGTCGTTTCGTATAAAAATTTGAATGATACACTTTCATGTGTAAAATAATTTGGGTCGTGACGGCGAACTATCTGCAAATAGCACGGTACTAAATTCTGTGATTTTAACTCTGAGGATCAGATGTTAGAAATTGAGAAAATATTTGAATTATTTCAAATTTGTGGGTTTCCTCTGTTGATGAGCTAACAGAGTGCAAGAAAATTAGGCAAAACATACTTTTCCTCCCAGCGATTTCTATCGTCTTACACAAAATAATGAGATTTGTTCTCATTGTCATTAGTATATTTTCACATTGGTCTTCTGCCTAATCCGCATACAGTCCAATAACCAGTACACGTGATGTGATTATACATAAATTGTGTGGACTTATCAATGGGCTCTTCTCGTTACCTGCAGGTTCTAGGTTCGACCTCTTATTGGATAATGTGTGCTTACCTCTTAAGAGTCCCAAACTTTGATTTTTTTTTCTTGATTTTTTGATTACAGCTTGATTCCACACTGTATTTTTGGTACAAGTAAGGAATTTTCAGCTTTGTGATATCAGTAGCCCAAATTTTGCAGGTGTGGGTTGGCAGGGGATCAAACCCCGGTCCATGTGCATGGTCGGCGAGAGTCCTAACCACTGTGCCACCGACGCACTCGAATATTATTGCATGGCGGCTTGCAAAGAAAACTGTTTCAAGCTCTTCTCTTGACTTGGACAACAAAGCCGTTCAGTACTTTCAGATTTTCTATGGTTCTCCAAATGATATCAGTTCGTGATCTAACTTGAAACTACAAGTGGAAATAATGGACAAATTGTAACACCTCATCAATAGTCACCTAGTTTATGATTAGGTTAATAGTTAAGTAATATATGTATAATTCCATTAATTCTTAGTAACACTTTATTTCCTATAAAATTTCAGTGTTAAAATAAGAAGCTCTACGTCATGAAAAATGAATATTTAATTACATAACACTCTTTTTTATGAAAGTAGGACGAATTTTTCAGTTTCTTGCGTCATCTGAATACGATTTATCAGTTCAGATAAAGCTTGAATTATGTCCCAGGGAAAGTTTGCTTTGCATCCCACGTCACAAAAACCCAGGTGAATTCAAATGCGGCAACACCTATTTCCAGTTGTCTAGTTTGCAAAAATGTCGTATTAATTTATTTTATAAGCTGATTTTGTCAGAATTGATAAATACTGCTGTCGACAAACATGATAAAGGAAGATCAAAGCTCTCTCTGTCTCTCTCTATGCATATATGCTGCTTGGTATTTAAAAGTCAAGAACTAATATAATTTTGTATTCACCTTATGAAACAAATTCTAGCGTATGCTGAAAAATAATGCTAAGAGGTAGATAGTTTAAGTTTCGAAAAAAAACAAAGGGAAAACTTGAAAGTGACTAAACACTTCATTTTTTTTGTAAAGAAAATCAACATGCATTGCACATACATTGAGAGCATATCCAAAACATCATTTCATTTAACGAGGACAAGAGAATTCCTGTAATATCTACCGAAAATAGAATCACATTTCAACATTTGGTTTTCATTTTTAAAGGTCAACATTAGAAAAATAATTAAAGTTCCGCATAACAAATAGACAATAATTTAGTGTTGGTTTGTAGGGATTTGATTGGTTTCAGGATTTCATCATGAGCTGACATCAGTTAGAGAACCATTGGAAAACCTGGGAGTACTGGACAGCTGTTTCGTCCTAGTTTGGGACTCTTCAGCAGTACGCACCCACCGGGTCCCAGTGGCTTAATGGTATACGAGCTCGCCTTGTAACCGGAAGGTCCTGGGTTTGAATCCCGGTGGGTGCGTACTGCTGAAGAGTCCCAAACTAGGACGAAACAGCTTCCAGTACTCCCAGGTTTTCCAATGGTTCTCTAACTGATGTCAGCTCATGATGAAATCCTGAAGACAATAATTTAGTTGTATCAGTGTAATAAATAATAGGGTAGGCGGATATTTGTGAACATAGAAATCTTTAAATTACTTGTAACACTCAAAGCATGAAACATGGAATTCGGGGTTAAATATAATCCCTAAATGTATTAAATGGTAATTATAATATTGATAGGCTGAAAAACAATTAAAGGCTTCCAACAGTTAAGTCTTGCAGCAAACACATAGACAATTTCTAATCCACACGAATGAGTTCAGTAAGTTTGGCTGAGAGCTACACTGAAAACCATTGTTTTATATTGTTCCAGTACGAGTGGACTGCACAGCATTGCGGTATTCACTACCCTACTTTATAAATTCGAGAAGAGAAAGTTACAGACAGATGCAATGAGTCCAGAATTACTTCATCATGTTACCTTCACAGTAGTGACGGTGTGTACTAGAATCCCTATGCGAACAAAACAGTGTTGGAAAAAATATATGATGTTAAATCTACCAGTGTGGCTAAGTAAAGCTGTAGTAAAAACCACCAACAGTTCGATATCAGACCACATGATCCAAACCTGTCACAAAGCCACTATTGAAGAGTCCTTCTGCATCATCTATCGGGTACCAAATAAACTGCCAAAAATATCCAGGTATCGCATATTCCAAACAACACAGACTATCGTGACTCGCCTGAGAAAACCGGTGCTCCGTGTGCAGAAGAAGCAAGTCCAGATACTATTACTGCCCTGGTCTACCTTCAGTGGGGACTATAGATTCATGAATTTGTATTATTATTTTTCCTAAGTTTTCTGATATTCAGTGTATTTTCATGTTGATGCTATCGGACTGTAATCCATTGGTATTATTACTGAATCGACGTCAATAACACTAATTCATTGACTATTATGTTTATTTAACTGTAGAACCTGATGAAGAGGAGGTTATCAAAAAGAATATTCTTTGTTCAGTAACCCTTCTTTTGAGAAATTTTAATCAGCACTTTTAATCAATTATAATGTAAAACAACTTAGTTATTTCATAAATTTACAGGCTCCTAATAAGTAAAGTGATTATGAGAAGATTTCTGATCATAGTGATAGGCTGTTTTATAGATTCTGTTACTAGCTGAAATATAGCCGGTTCAGAAGAAGACTAAATGACTTGAGGGTAGGACAGAAAGTCAACCTGAAAAGTCCCATCTTGATTATTTCAGATAAATATTTTAAAATATAAATTTTTAACAAATTTTTAGTGAAAAGTGGACTTTATTTTCTAATATTTTAGAGAATGTGATATTGATCAACCTTACTAGAGCGTGGTGTTACATTTATTTATTAACTTTTAGCTTTGTGTTTTGTATACATTTACACTTCTCCTGTTTTCCATGTATCATTTTCTGCTCAATGTGTAAATGTAGGATGTAGCAACTGAAACCATTACGTAACAATTTTAGTTGACACTGAAATCAAACCTATGTCATTTTGCTAGAAGATATATAAATAGTGGTTATGCATCAGTAAAAGGTTACTTTGATTCTTAGGGCGTCAATATATTCAGGTTTATCAATCTAGTATGTGAGTTAATTTAAAACTTCTACTAAAAGCTCACTACTTGTCAAATAAATATTGACTATAGATTACCAATAATAAATAATACAGACTGTTAAACGTCTGATCAGAGCGTAGTTTGTAAACTAAAACATTTTGTGTTTGAACATCATTATCTTGGAAGTAGTTATAACCTACTGCTTTAAGCGAAGATGCCCCACTGACAAGGAAAATATTCAAAATCTTGCTTTTTCTATAGTAAGACAAACTTCAAGAATTACTGAACACGAGATAAAATTCTAGTTTTGTTGCAAATAAGGACCTGCAGATCTACGAGCAAAAAGCAACAAATTGGCAGAAGAGGCAGCCAAGACAGGACTTCAAGTGAACATGGAGAAGACTTTAGTGATGAAGATGCCTAGCCAACAACAACAACCACTAATCACAACTAGCTGGAGAAATCTGAGGGAAGTCATCTCTTTCGCTTCGTTCCAACTACAGGCAACATGGATGCCAAAGCGAGGATCCGATTGGATCAGAAAGGGAAGACAGACCTATACTACATAAGTGTGATGTATTTACTATAAACAACTAGAATCGAATTTTCAGCGATTTTGTCAATTCACTTGGCTTGTCATGAAAAGCTTTTCAAACACACTCCAAACTGTCATCAACACCTGACTTTACTCCACACTGAAAATAAGATAGCCAGAAAGGAAAGACCACAAGGAACTCTGGAAACCAACCGACATATATACAGAAGAAAGTGGATTTGGATCAGACTCAGACTGTGGAGACCATCAGGTAACATCACATACTAGACTACTGAGTGAAACGTAAATGAATAACGACGAGTTGGGCTTGGATCCGCAGGTGACATGGAAGAGGTCCTGCGTGTGGAGAAAATGGTGGCTTATGATCAATCATGGAGTCAGCCAGCAAAAAACTGCAGAGAACAGAGTAAATTTAGCGATGCAATTCTGAAATCCGATGTTTCACTACAGACTAAAGGTAATACCAATAATAATCATTATTATAAATAAGATTTATTTGAATAAAGCTACTCAGACTTCCTCTTATTTGTAATATTTAATCATCCAATTTCCCTTGCATATCATTACTCTCTCATAAATTATTATTATTTGTTAATAATTTAAATGTTGAATGTATCAATCATTAATCTTTGTTTTAAATGAAAACATTCAGTGTAGATGTACTTTTCAAAAAAACAAAATTTCTGATCGAAATATTAAATTAGAAAT